GTTTTACGGGCCGGCCGCCCTTCAGCCCCAGAAAAATTCCTGGTACTCGTTTCTGTTAGAGGCTGAGTCAACCCCAGGGCCCTAGGCTGGCTGGAAGGGTTAGGCCAATTGAAGAAATCCAGTGAAATTAGTGAATCAGTCAAATGTTGCCATCGAAACTTGCTGTGTTGGAAGATAGGTTTTTGTGTCCTCTTACAAGATTTTGTATTCTGTCACCCCCCCTTGTCTTATACATCATTGGCGCACTCGGCATACGAATTTTTATTAAAGTGTCTTTTGCATTTCCTGATACTGGACCCTAACTATAAATCCTAAATCAGTTTTCTAAAAGGTCTGCTTAAATGCAGGTGTCTCGCAATAATGTGGCAACATTTTCAAAGTGGAACTCAAAGTTACTTTACGACTAGCGGTTTACCACCAATCAGCTCGTCGTGACGCCAAGCCCCTTGTGACTCACGACCATATACTTTTTTTTTTCATGTGAACCTTGCGGTCATAGTCCTTATGTAACACTCGGCCACATTTTGTTTAGTGCATCCTTCTCTGTATTGATTGTGTATTGATTAGGGGGCACGCGGTAGCGTAGTTGGTTGAGGGACGATACTACAAGCCGGACGGTTGCGGGTTCGAGTCCTGATGAGGTCATTGGATTTTTCACTTAACCAAATCCTTCCAGCTACACTATGGTCCTGGGGTCAACTCATCCTCTAACAGAAATGAGTACCAGGAATCATCCTGGGGCCCTGGGGTTAGAGGGCGGCCGGCGCGTAAGACAACTTCACCGCCATCTACGAGCCGATTGTCTAGATAATGTGGGAGTCTCGACGTCTGACAACCCTATGGCCCTCTACGGCCTTAAAAGGGGTACCTTTACGTTTTTACATTTTTAAATGTAGATTAAATTTGCAGGACTATAGATATGGACCACTATTGGGCTTTTGTGAACGCAGTAATGGACATCAGCGTTTCATAAAAGGCGAGGATTTCCTTGACCGCTTGATCTCCACAAGGCAGACTCCGACATATGGAGTTGGTTTAGTTATTAAAGTTGTAACTGGGCAAGTGAGCTGTTGCAAAGTAATTTTAAGGCATAGCCTTGCGTTCCTGGTGGCTAATTATAAATTAATCAGGCATGTTCAAAATTGACGTTCTTGAAAACGCTGCGTAACATTCAGCAGACTGGTACGGCAACTGAGCCCCAGCTGCGGTAGGGATTGCTCTTCCCCCCCCCCCCCCACTTTAATCCAAAGATCACTAGGAGTCCTCACGAAGTTGGAGACTTAATGTAGCCTTGAACTCAGTTCGTAGAATTAAAACTGTATTTGGAGGGTTCCAAGAAATCTGATATAGGTACGGACCAGTGAGTAGCGTTTAGGACTGGCAAAGTATAAGCTGTGTTTCAGTGCAGTGAGAAAGTGACAGCAGGTGTGTACATATACAGAACCTGTTTGGTGTAGGGGCTTACGGCGCTGCCCATCCATCAATCCGAAGGCGAACCAGTAGTCATGTCGGCAGAGCTGCCCACGAAATGTTACTGCTGCAGCCTTTGTAATTTTAGAATCTAAATACAAAGTGACCGTTCTTTTATTCAGACTATTAGAGATCGGCTTCTCAGCGCGGGAACTTTGTCTGCTAATTTGCTGCTGGCCTTCGCCAGCACAGTTGTTGTTGATTTCGGGCCCAGCGGGACCAATGACCATATTATTCTCTCTCATGGCTCTCATCGGGGCATGTCCTGGGTGAATTCACGAGATTCGTGATGGATGAAATGGTACTGGAACGGGTTTTACTCCGAGTTTGTTCAATTTTCCCATGCTAGTCATCATCCCACCATTGCTTCCTACTGATGTGCCACTGCCCCATGAGGTGTGCCATGGCCCTGATCCTGCACTTGGCTTGTTACAGAGTGTTATAGCTACATTTTAATAGAACAAATGTAACAGGCACTTCGTCATAAATATTGCAGAATATTTTCTTACAAATTAATCTGATTTTATTATGTTTTTTAAACATCAGATTTCAGTAAGGTTTGAGGTTCTCACTTCGGTGAAAGCCAAGTTTGCATTCTTGTAGCATGGAACGCCTAAAGGTGATGGGGCGAAGCCTGGGAACCTTCCATCAAAAATGATAATCTTTTGCCCCTTCTCTCACCGACACCCGAAACACCTCCCATGACTTTCCACTGTCGCTGTCTTGCCTCCTGTCTTTCAGCTTTCGCCTTCAGCTTGGTAGATTGGTACCAGCAATGCCCATGAACCTGACGCGTCCATCAACAGCAGGTCACTCGAAATGTTGGTATTCACGGCGTCACGTACCAGAAGACAGTAAGTTTGAGGTAATTCTATGTTTCATGAAAACGTAGATGATATTGTCCGTACATGCAAATGAAATTTAGCGACTGTGCAGTTCTAACAAACACTGTCATGTGTTCGAGGTTTATGTAGTCACCTTTCACGCCAGAGATGGCAAATGCTGTTGCATTTACGCCAGAAGCTGTTTATCGACAAAGAAGTGGTGCCAGGAGCCCTGGTTGCTCCGGTAACTTACCGCCTCGTGTCCTTACAGGAGTCAGGAAAAGAATTGTCATGGATCGTCCACCCCCCACCCCCCCACATTCCGTATGTCTTCCCTTCCCGCCTTCCCCTTACTTTATCACCACTTTTGCTAGTCCTTTTTCCTTATTTTGGAAAAGAATAAAAGGATTCTCTTTACCTCACTTTGCTGTCTGCTAGTGTCTGTCCGTCTCTCTGTATCCCTTCCCTATTTTTTTGGGCTTACATGACTTATGAAATCGCCTTGTTGTCTGTGTGTGTACGAGGTTTCTGCAATCACCTTGCTGTCTGTATTTTCCCTATTTTTTTTTTCGTTTTCTATGCCGTCCTTATCGTATCAAAGGAAAGTAGGCGATTAGTTCTTCCTAGAACTTCTTTTTGTGTGTGTGAATTTTAAGTTCCACTTTAATATACCACCTGAATATGACGATCTTGTTATGTTGGAAACATTTCGGGGTTTTAACAACGTGTAATTAGTAAGGTAAAGGTGTCCCTGTGCTTAACTAACTAAGCACTACCCCATGAAGGCGTATGGGGGAGTGGAGTACGAGGAAATGAGGAAATAAACTTAATATACTCAGATCGCAATTGGAACCCTGTACTAATATTTCATACGCATCTTTTGACGGCGAGGGGTTACTTTTTCTGATTTTTGTCAAGGATAGACCTTAGATAAATTCCAAGAAGAGAGATACGGAACAAAAAACGTGTCGGAAGAACAATACACGTTCGTACAGACTTCTTGTTTTCCTCTGTAAGCCTGTTTGCGTTTTTTTTTCTTCAGATTAAACTTCCCATTTATTGCAGGTAATTTTAGGTCTGTTGGATCTGATGTTGGCACGGCTTTAAAATTACGATCTCCTGTGATGTTTGTTATTTATTTATCTATTTGATAAGACGCCTGAACCCTGGAATCTGCCTATCTGCTGAGCGGGGCTTCGCTGAGCACGTTCCTGTGGCAACACGGAAGTCGCCGCTGCTGGACGGCGAACTGTTGGAACGCGTTTCCACAGCAACGAATGCGACTGAAGAAGCAATTCATTTCATACAGAGTAACATGGATTCCTAGGCAGCACATACAGAAACGTTTACTTTGACACTGCAAAGAACCAGTCAAAGCAGAATGCGATAACTCTACTGTTGAAGGTTTATCTCCATAGGTTGGACCTAAACCTACCTCAGGGAGAGACTTGACCAAAAGAAGGCAGAATACGACAGAAGAATACAGAAGGATAAGGAAAAGAAGACTAGAGGCTACTGCAGGTGCCAGACAACAGTGAGAGATATGTTATCCAGGAGTCAAATGTGTGAACTGTTGTAATCAAGTGAAACTGCAATAGAGACGCCCAATGAATCCAGTCAATCCAATCTAGAACTCCCAGTTTCAGTCACGCGATGTTTATTTAACAACGATGACCTGGAGAAGCTGTCGAAGGAAACGTTCTCAGCGTAATTTGAGGCACTGGTATGCAGCTTCATGTGAACTGGTAGAAGACTGCCAGTCTTTGGAGGAACCTTCTGCCCTTATCTTCAAGATAAGATACTTGACTGTTTACCATGAAGATGAAGAAACGTTTGTACGTATTCATCCACGAAACTACTACTACTCGACGTTTCATTCAAGAAAATCATATTTTGTGTGTAGACCCCCCATTAACCAGGAGCGAATTAGTCTTTTTTTTTTATAAAATTGACTGTTGTATCCAATATCGAAGGTAAACTTATGTGAACGTTTCTTAAAATTAATATGTACGAAACGAAGGGAATTTTATTTCCCGCTAGAATATGTGCTTTGAAGCTCTAAATGTCTTTGTCTGTTTTTTTCTTTTTAATATGTAGAAAAGACAGAGGAGCGTTACCCGGCAGCCTTCGAGTAAACTAGACAAACAAATGTGTGTGTTGTACACATCTCAGTTCAGAAGCTACTTATGTATTCAGTTTACTGATTATTCGGGGAAATTCATTTCCTATTCATCCTGGATAATCTGGAGTTATTGTAATTTTAGGGGCATGTAGTAGCGTAGTTGGTTGAGGCACTATGCTACAAGCCGGAAGGTCGCGGGTTCGATTCCCAATGAGCTCATTGGATTTTTTCGATTGACCTAGTCCTTCCAACCACACCACGATCCTGGGGTCGACTCAGCCTCTAACAGAAATGAGTACCAGGAATATTCCTCGAGGTAAAGGGCGGCCAGCGCGTAAGGCTGGTAACCTCATCGCCATCTGTGAGTCGATTGCCTAGAAAACGGAGCCTCGACGTCTCATAACCCTGTGTGACTCCACGGTCTGTTACAGGGATAGCTTTACCTTTTTTACCGTAATTTTTAGGACGAATTCAGGTTTTTATCCTCTCGTAATTCCGCCTCATACAGGTTTTGTTGTGGCTGTGTAGTGTTCTTATGGCGAAGGTACCAACCCACCCTAACTGAATGCTGTTGTATCTTGCAGATGGAGGACGAAGGTAACCACGGCAACGACGACACTCGTTGCTTCATCTTGTCCACGTTGGCAGCACTGCACACATCTCGCGTGGCGTGTGTGCTTTGTCAGTCTCCAATGTTGGTGTTTGACCGATACCCTCTGGTGGATGGGACTTTCTTTCTCAGTCCACGTCAACACAGCAAATGTTGCCTGGAGGTAAGTCAGAACATGATCTGAAGCCATGCCATGTCGACTAGAAAAAGAAAACTACAAGTATTTGCCACTGCCAGTAAATGCAGCAGCTAAGTTTATCTCCTGGTATAGTCTGGTGTTACGGGTGACCCTAGTTACGTTATAAGTTGTGGAGCCCACGGGATATAGGTCGCAATATTATTATTATTATTATTAGTAGTAGTAGCAGTAGTAGTAGTAGTAGTAGTAGTAGTAGTATGATGGCTCTGCAGCCCATTGTTGGACCTTTGCTGCTTTTTCAGTTTCTTGAGTCTCTACACAGCCGGTGACCGCCTCAGTGGTCTAGTAGTCAGAGTTCCTAGCTACAGATCCAGAGGTCCCGGGTTCGATTCCTTGCGCTGCCAGATTTTCTGAGAACTAGTGGGTCTGGAACGGGGTTCACTCAGCCTCGTGAGGATAATCGAGCTGTCTGAAGGAAATAGCGGCTCCGGTCTAGAAAACCGAAATTAACGGCCGTGAAGATTCGTTGCGCTGACCACGCGACACCCTCTATCCGCTAAAGTTGGCACTAACTTTGCCGACAAGCGGCGATCGCTCAGTCGGTAGGACTCCTTGGACGGGGGATCAGCCCGTTGCAAGGTCTCTACCTACACACAGAACACAGACAGAATAAACACACACAAGGCACCCATGCCTAGAGTGGGATTCGAATCCACGATCCTACCGATCGTGCGAGTGAAGACAGTTCATGCCTTAGACCTCAGGGCCACTCTGATCGGCGGTCGAAACATAAACATGTAATTATTCAATAATAGATGTCGTGTACATATGAATGTACTGAGAATGCGGTAAAGAAGTACAGGGTGATTCTAAATTATAATGGGGGTTTCCGTGGCCCATAAACGGAAACTCCGACAATAATTTAGAATTGGAAACGCCATGCAAATGGGATACGAGACAGGAAACTACTAAAATGTGCACGGGCCCTTCTTATTCCAAAAAATAGGGCGACGTGGGAGGACCCGGAACTGGGTAGAAAAATATTTTTTTGAACCTTCCGAACAGACATTTCATGAAAACAATAAAATTACATCATACTCTCATTTTCCTCTGTCACAAACCGTTCTAGCTTCTGTTTTTCGTGCGAATGTTTATCAAAGAATTGAATACGATGAAAGTCAAAGTCTGACATGAGGTTTGAGGTTCTCTCGGTGCTGAGTGTGAAGGTTACTGTCTGTGATCCGATGTCATGTAGCCTGGTAGATATTTACCGAAGTTTCGGAGTAATTTGCTGGCTAAATCTTTATGATTGAAGAGACCGAAGAATGACTTCGGCCCTGAAGATGGAGGAAACATGTTCTTCCGAATTGTAAGTAAACATGTACCACACTATACGGCATCACATCCAACATTCTGTCTACGAAGACAAATTTAGAGAGGGAATCTGGTTTGAAAAAATGTACTTTTTTTTTTCGCTGTTACTTTAGTTTGTTATTACATTCATGGCAAGATACGCTACGTGCCTGGTATCCAAAGTTCTGGGTAAACATATATAGTTGGCTGCGCCATAGCTCAAGCAGTTAGTCGCTGGCTTCCCACCGCGGCGGCCCGCGTTAGATCCCGGGTCTGGTGAAGTGGGATTTGTGGTGAACAAAGTGGCGCTGGGGCGGGTTCTCTCCGAGTACTTCGGTTTCCCCTGCCAATCTTCATTCCACCAATTGCGCCACGATCACCCTCACCTATCATCTGGGGCTGGTACAATAGGCCAGAAGTGGCCGCAGTACCAGGGACTCAGTCCCACCCCCAGTAGCAATAAAGATATACAGTTTTGACATGTACTTGCTGGTTGCGGGATGCTAACTAAACGTCATATATATATATATAGTAGCTCACATTGCGTGGTGTCAATGACGTGATTGGTGAATAATCAGTTGGGAGGGATGTGGAAGGAACCGGTGTTTTATTGGCATTTGGACCAGAAGGTGATTAAAACCAAGAAAGGTCTCAAGCAGGATTGCCAGTATCTGGGCAAAGATTTGAATGGGAGACATCCAGGATACGAAGCAGGTTTCCTTCTCACTCGACACTGACGATAGGTAGTTCACAGGAGCCGAGTAAGTTAGCTTAAACAGTAACGCCTTAAACTCTTATGCGAGAAGCCAGGGTCGCAGACATAACTGGCGGAGGGTTATCATGGATATCCTGTCTCCAGGCTAATTACCGGGATAAGAAGAGGTAGAACTACCCCTGTAACAGGCCATGGAAGCCCAGAGGGTTGTGAGACGTCGAGGCTCCCACATTTTCTAGACAGCTTACAGATGGTGAGGTCATCCTTACGCACCGACCGCCCGTTACCCCCATGAAAATTCCTGGTACTCATTTCTTCTAGAGACTGAGTGGAATCCAGGGCCATAGCGAGGCTGGAAGGATTAAGTCAATTGAAATTCCAACGACCTCATCAGGGATTGAATTCGCGACCTTCCAGCTTGTAGCTCAACCAACTACCTTTAACTAGACAATAATCGCTTCATTCCAAGTCGTTTTCAATTCATTTCACGTTGTATGATCAAAGTTTTTGACACTGCCTTTAAATTAACATAAAGTAAATAAATACTTATTTCTAGAAGCAGATCCCCAGTAAAGTTGCTGAGTGTAGTTAATAAATTTGATTTAGAAACCCCACAGTTTGAAATTCAGTCAAGATCCATCAATTTTGCTTCATTATGAGCTTTATGAAATGGACAGTATGAACGAAACCCTCCCGATTGCAGCGCAGTCTCTCGGCCTATACCGAAAGCGAAATATCAGTATTGCCGGCCACTTGCCGAAAGTACAGTATTGATCAGCATGAAGCACGTGTGATGAGTGGTAACTGAATCCACTCTACCGCCGTTGCACCAGCTTCAGATAATGTGCCAATTAAATTCCTAATTATGTAACTAACTAAATATATGGTAGCAAAACTCGAATGTAAAACACGTCTAGTTACGGACGCCCGCCATTACACAGAATCCAGAATTTATTTCATTCGTCTATCATCCTTACAACTTAGTTGCTTAAAAAACTCGTCAGCTTTGTGTTAGTGATGAGTTCTGCCCTGAAGAGAGAGGCAACATGTCTCTCAGAAACATTGGAACCTGTCTATGGTGTCATCCCAGACAACCGTGCCCGTAATTTTCACGTCGAGTGTCACATAATATACTTTTCTATGTGAACGACAGTGCGTCATCGTCATTTAGTGACGTAGGCCGTTTAGGCCGTTACGTCATCACCAGAAACAAGATTATGCCGCACTGAATGATATACTCCCTCTTCTCTGGGAACGAGGGTGCATCATCGTCAGTTAATGACGTAGACCGTTACGTCATCACCAGAAAGTTACTGGATATACTCCATCTGCTATGGGAACGAGGGTGCGTCATCGTCAGTTAGTGACGTAGACCGTTACGTCATCACCAGAAAATTACTCGATTATACCGCACTGACTGCTATACTTCGTCTGCTATGGGAACGAGGGTGCGTCATCGTCAGTTAGTGACGTAGACCGTTACGTCATCATTAGCTTACTGAGTTATGCTTTCAGCATACTTCCGATATACATACGGCTTTATGGATATTCGTAAATGACCAGGACGATTTCTTCCGTGTGGTTTCAAACGCAAGTTATGACGTAATCAGATGTTTAAGGCCGCGCCATAGCTTCAGCAGTTAAGTCTCTGGCTTCCCATCGCGGCGGCCCGGGTTCGATCCCGGGTCTGGTCAAGTGGGATTTCTAGTGGATAAAGTGGCGGTGGGGCAGGTTTTCTCAGAGTACTTCGGTTTCCTCTGCCAATCTTCATTCCATCAAGTGCTCCACAATCACCCTCACCTATCATCTGGGGCTGGTACAATAGGCCAGAAGTGGCCGCAGTGCCAGGGACTTAGTCCCACCCCACTAGCAATAAAAAATCAGATTTTTAGAGCTGATAGACTTTACGGGAAGTTTGTTAGTTGGATATCATTATGCGCAGGCTTGGAGCATGCTATGAATTTAAACCTGTACAATGATTTTTACCAGTTGTTGGAGGAAAGTCCCGCTCCAATGTGCGATGTATGTATGTCACGGTAGACACGACAGGGGATTGTGGAAACAAACAACTGAAATCCATTATCTCCTGTTTTGGAAAGAAAATACAATGGACGAGTAATAAGCCTTGCCCTGCGTTTCCCTGGCTTCTCTGATCTCATTTGAACAAATACGTACCTAAAGTCAGTCACCGGAACAAGGAAGAAATAGCATGTCATTTTGAAGGAGGATCTCTTCATCCGGAGACAGAGGGCGCTTTGTTTTGCCCTGCGCGCTTCAGGCACTGATGGAATAGCACGGTACGGTAGAGTGGGGACCTTTTTTCCTGCGTTTTTACAATCTGAGGATCCTTTGGCTGGGCTTATTAATACACATTCCTATCTTCTGGTATGTGACGTGGTGTCATCTGATAGTTTTAGACCGACGTTTTGAATGAACGTTATGTCTTTGTCGTCCAGGTACCATCTGCTGTGAAAATGGAGGCAGTCGTTCGTCCGAAACGTCTGTAAACATCTACCATACTGCATTTCTTCAGTGCACCATCTGCCCTCCGAAACGCTAGTTAATATCTAACAGACTAAAAGTGTTGTCATCTGTCATGAATATGGCGGCAGAACATTCGTCCGAAACGTCGATAAACATTACCGGACTATATGTCTTCAGATTACCATCTGCATTGCTGAAGGCAGTGTTTCTCCGAAACGTTGGTAAATAACTGCCACACTAGACGTCTGCAAGGTACCATCAACCCCGAAGTTGGGGGCAGCACCAACAAGTCATTGTCATCGTACTTTCGTTTTGTAGTGAATTCTTATTTTTGCTGTCGATTTCGGCTGATCTCACATATACTTGTGGCTGTATACAAATATAATTGGTCCACTCACAAACGTAACTGGGACTAAGTAGGAACCTAGGGTCTCCATCTTTGGCCCTTTCCTTTCCTCTTCCCTGAAGATGA